GGTAAGATCCTTAACACTGTTAAGATCCCAGTCAGGGGCAAGATCCCAAACAATGTTAAGATCCCAGTCAGGGGTAAGATACTAACACTAGTAAGATCCCAGTCAGGGGTAAGATCCTAAACACTGTTAAGATCCCAGTCAGGGGTAAGATCCTAACACTAGTTAGATCCCATTCAGGGGTAAAATCCTTAACACTGTTAAGATCCCAGTCAGGGGTAAGATCCTAAACACTGTTAAGATCCCAGTCAGGGGTAAAATCCTTAACACTAGTAAGATCCCAGTCAGGGGTAAGATCCTTAACACTGTTAAGATCCCAGTCAGGGGTAAGATCCTAAACACTGGTAAGATCCCAGTCAGGGGCAAGATCCCAAACAATGTGAAGATCCCAGTCAGGGGTAAGATCCTAAACACTGGTTAGATCCCAGTTAGGGGGTAAGATCCCAAACACTGGTAAGATTGCAAACAATGGTAAGATCCCGGTCAGAGGTAAGATCCCAAACACTGGTAGGATCACAGTCAGGGGTCCTGGGATTGAGAAGCTGACACTGTATGGCTAAGTCACTGTTCCCTACCTTTAGAGACCCTTATCAGTCGAGCAAGCAGGTCCATTTGAATAGACATAAAAATTTTGTCCTGTTTCTTATTTGTTACTATGAAGGCTGATAAAGAAGTTGCAAGTCTTTTGAGGAAAGATTTGAATTTTGCAAAACTTTAACCAAGTTCACAAAGGGCCATAATTATGTCAACATCTATACTAGAGATATGGACCTTGGATAGTAACCCAGAAGACATGTGTTAAGTCTTAAGTGAAATCATTAGGTAGTTTTGAAGATTGATGATACATGCTTATTTTTTTACAAGGAATTTTCTAAAGGTCACAAAGGGCCATTATTCTGTCAAAAGAGTTATGGGCCTTGGATAGTGACCTCCTTTGTGATCTCATATTGTAAAGTTACAAGCAAATAGTTGCATGTAAAACTTTAACCAAAGTGTTACACTGATGTAACAGGTCAGTAAAATAGTCAGTTGTGCTAGAAAACTGTGAGAAGATTCTAAACAAACTCCCTGAAAATTTTGGACCATCAATAATAAAACAATTTACTTAGTTCATTTTAATTTATTGAACAGTAAATTTCAACAAATATGAAAAATCAATTGCACAAATATAGCATATCTAAGTAATGAATAAAAAAAACCTTTTTACTTGTACATATGTATATTCAAATACATGTATTAAACAAATAAAATCCCCAACAATATATCATTCTTTGTACAATTAGTCTTAGCACACATAATCTTAATTCCAGCAAGACTGTGCCTATTTAAAGCGTTAAATTTCTAAAACTGCATGTACAATTGAAATATATGTAAATTACAAAAACATATTTCAAGCATTCCAAAAGATAGATAAATATAAACTGTACATGTAAATTTATCATGTAATAGTATTCTGTATAATAAGATATTAATTAAAACACCGACAAAGACTTCCTATTAAAGAGGATAGTTAGAATTGAACTGTTATACAGTATATACTATTAAATGACATGTAACACTTTTTTACCTATATTCTGTACCTATATTCTGTTGAATATAGGTAAAGGAAAAATCTTGTTTTACAATGATTTTGGAAATGTCCATTAATGACTGGAAAAATTTCAATGTAAAAACAAAAACAGCCTTATCACACTTTATTTATAGTAAATAGCACACCAAGTTACCATAACAATCTGCTTTTTGCTTTTATTATTATTTTTTTTCGTTGGGTTTTATGCCACACCAACACACTTTTGCGCTGAACTTGTGGAGAAAGACCTCAGGTGAATATCCATGCATTATTAATTCAGGCACTGTTTTTATTACTGACATATGACACAAAAACAAAAGGCTGGGTTTTCTATATGTCAGTTTAGTTTTACCAGAATCACTACTTTTACTACAAAACATTTTAAGTAAGTCAAACTTTAGGAAAATGTTCTAAGATTACAATAAAAAGATTCAAGCAATAATTTACATGTTGTATGAAATTACATGTATATATTATATGATCATCATATTTCTACTCCATGACTTATTGGTGAAAATTAGAAAATTTTTTATTATTTTTTTTTTTCATCTTTCATTATATATAGATTAAGTTGATTAACATTGACTTAGTTTTTAACAGCTAGCTAACAAATTGCAATTTTACAATAAATGGCTCAAAGCTATCAGCAAATATGCAGCATTTATAATAAAGCAATATACATTAACAAAGAAAAAACAAACATTTTTATTTATCATTTATAATATTTAAATTCATATCAAAAATAGACAATAGCAAAAAATCCTACAGCACATACACAAAACCTGGACTTCCAGCATCCAATAATAGTAAATACTATGGTTATTTTTTAAGATGAAAAGAAATTATCCTTCTGCTTAAAAGGGATCGGTTTATAGGAAGAACTACTTTTGTACATTGTAATTACCTTATTACCTTAACTGTTGAAAATGGTTTTGTATTATCAGTGGTTTGGTGAATACTGTAAAATCATTATTATTCGTGGGGCACGAATTTTCGTGGTTTTCGTGGGAAGGTCAATCCACGAATTTAAGATCCCACAAACTTTTATCCCAACAAATATACTTCTTACCCAGTCTTTGTTCTATATATTACAAACATGTGTCGGCTCTTTTTGGCCGATATTTCGTGAAATGGATGTATAAACAGACAGATAATCAGGTTATAGACATATTAAATCCGTTTACAATATTTAAGAAACTTGAAAGAAAACTCGATTATATGTCCTCAATTTACTGTCACAAATGTCGCATATACGTACTTGATCGTTGTAGTCTACTAGGACTTGATTGTGTCAACAAGAATACTTGACATAATCGAGTGAATATGGGAACCCAGGCAGTGCAATAATTAGCGCTAATAAAAATTGTCAGTTTGCTCTTATTTGTTAAAAAAAGTCTTTGATATTAATGTCGTAAGTACACAAAACTATAAAAAAAATACGATCGCTAAAACAAATTTATTGTACATTCTTTTGTCGTTTTAAATGATCCAGTTTATATGAATTTTAATCTGTATTTGTGCGAACGCTATTCCGTCAACATTAAAGACGCCACCGACTTTTACAAGATCCACAAATACTCGTGTTATTTACCGAGATTAATTTATATGCATGTAAGTTTACACAGTCGCTGTGACGTTGCGTGTAGTTACTGTCAAATATGTTAAGACCAATTCAGGGTGTAAACTTTTAAACTCACTGGTTAAAACCTGTCAGGTGTCGTATAAATTATGCGATGTTTACATCGGCGTATTACAGGGGCAGTGTGTCCAATGGAGGTGCATATCATGTCACATACATGTGTTAATTGCAGTCAATTATCGGCAGTAACTGTGCTATATTAGTTATGCCCAGAGGCAAGGATTAAATTTATTGACAAGCGCTGTGTGACATGTAAAGATAATGTACATGTTGTAAGTAAAAATGTTCGGCGATTAAGTTTAAGATTAGTTTGCATTAGGTTACGGATTTTTTTAACAAGAAAACGAAAATCCACGAATTTAAGAACCCACGAAATGCCCTTTTTGATAAAACCACGAAATTTCATGCCCACGAATTTAAGTGAATTCGCAGTAGTAAGAGTAAGAACTTTTTTCATAACTTTTCTCAAAGGCCATACTAACATGTTATGTGAAGCCATATTATCATTTCATTTAACATAACAGCATAATACTGTCTAGATTTTGAGAAAAGAAATCTGTTGTTAATTACTTCTTCATCAACTGTAGCGGAAGACATTGCATGGTTAGTAGAAAACTGTTTTTCTATTTACATGTTCTAATTATTGTTAATCAGTACATCAGATAAAATATTTCTCTTCAGTATTCTTTACTTCACTGTTTTCCAAAATATTAGCAAATGTTATTATTGACAAAAGAATCACTAGAGCCCATATGCAGGAAACAATCCTCCAGTTAACATTAACAAAATTCAATTACTACTGATGATTAAATATTTGCAGCAATTTCTTATGTTTATTCCTTAACTGCTGCTCACTTTACTTAAAATTTGACCAAAAAGGTCACATGGTATGAAACACTAATTTTAACTGCTGTCAAGAATGGTTTTGTTTTAATAAAGGTTTGGTAAACAACAAGAAATAATCACAGTATTGCACAGGATTGTTGGTATGATTGACAGATATTTTACCATCCAACAAGAATTTTACAGATTATACATGTATATACATCAATGTACTTTTCTTCTTCTGGTTTTATAATAATTATTGCCAAATGTGAGTGCAAAAAGTAAACATACTCCGGAATTAAGAATATTTGGGTTTTTCCCAGCTAATCTGTAGGTACAGACAAACTTTGACAGTTACAGCTTTGAAATTAAGCACAACAGGTTAACTACTCTATTGTGACAGAGAGTGCACCATGAAGCTATTACAGTAAAAGTTTGTTTGTACCGGGGAATTAGCATGGAGAAACCTACATTTGCTGAGTACCGGATAACATCTATTCTTATAAAAAGATATACATAATGTTTCCTACATCATATTTATCCAAATGCACACTTAGAACTTAGTGACACTTACAAACATTCGAGATATTGACCTAGATGTTATTGTTATAAATCACTGACACTTGATGGTTAGCATTGTGTACTTCAGAATAAATCTCAAACAGTTAATGCTTGTTTAGTGTAAGTATTTATTATTGCAATTTTGCAAATGACTGGAAAATTATGCACTGCAGTACCCACGAGGCCCATCCTATATATTTTTTGTCATTCATTAATGTCATTTTACTCTATTTATTTGCTAACTGTTGTCTGATCATCCATACAGTGTGACACAATGTAAAATAACCAAAAAACATTTATTCAAGTTAAAGGTGATGTGATGAATTACTCATGATTCAATCCAAGTCTAAATATTCGACTCGACATCGAGGCATATGGACACTGTGTATGGTTTTAGTCATGGTAGAGTTTTTTAATGGAAATATAACGGTAAACTGGTTTATTCCGAGTCTGTTTCTCCGGGGTTTGTATGTAACGCTTGATACATGTGTAACTTTTCTGGGGAAATTCCCGTCAATAATGTTTCTAACTCTTCTAACTCTTTCTGCTTCGCCTGAAATTAATAAAATTAAAATCATTTAATCATAATGTATATCAAATTCCTTTCAGCCTTATAAAGAGTAAAGAAAAAATATTTAATGTAACTTGTTACAATATTTCTGAAGATTAATGTTTCACCTTCAAGGACTGTGCTTTCATTACTAGCAATATTTACAATTTCTGTTTTTTTTGTCCCCAAAAAGTCACCTAATGAGAGGTGAATATTTTCATTTTTATTTCAAGTATTAATTTATTAAACAATTAAGTGTATTTATTACATTTGTTGTAGGCACAACAAAATTAATGATTCTTAACCACTACCCTGATTAACTTCCATGGACTTGTCCAGTTTCCATTTTTGGGACTGTCCATTGTCATTTTTGGGGATAACAAGATGGAAATTTTTAATTTATCAGTGTTCAGTACAGAGTCAGTTCAGACTGCACCAACATTCAGGTCGGCCTGATTCTATACTGGGGGGCAAAGGTTAATCATGTTTGGTTCTGGCAGAGTAAAGGTTAAATATATATCACCCCAACTAAACCACAAAATAAAATTTTAATTAATAGTTAATGTCTGCTTTTTTTAATTAAACAAATGAAACGCAATAGTAAATATATTGATGAATTAAATATCTATATTTTAAAACAACAATATGTCAACAAACAAATTATTCTTTATAAATCTACTCTGTAAATAAAACATAATACAATGTTTCATAAATCATGAATTATCTAAACATTAGCAAACCTTTAATGTTCTTTCTAAACTTTTCACTTTCTTGAATTTTATAACTTCTGGAGATACTTTTTCTACCATATCTTTTGAGAGAGCACTTCTCCTTTGTTTATTCAAGTCTTCACCAAATAAGTTTTGACCTCTTTGAGATTGCTTACGAATCATCACAGACAGGTCTTCCTGACTAGCACCGATGTCCGGAGACGGTGCCCGTAAATCTGAAAACAAGATGGAAATATTATTATCCTGTAATATGGATAAATTTGACAGAATCTAATTTAGCAGACCCCAGTGTGCATGTGATTTTGTTTCTATACTTTTTACTCTGTTTTCTTATTGTTATTCTGAATTTCGTTGTAGTTTTCAAAATAATCATGTACAAAAGCGGACTAGTAAACTAAGGATTGCTGACCGCGTGGGTTCAAACCCTGTCAGAGGCAAACTGTTGTTTCCTTGAGCAAGAAACTTTACACTTATTGCTCAGTACTTGTTGGTTCCATGAACGGATTCGAAAGTGTTTCAATAAGCTTATAGCTTCCAAAAGAATCAAACTAAAAAATAAATTTGTAAAAACTTAAAGAGGGAATGTGGGGGCCACAGACTCCAAATAAGCAAGTGTGCTGGTATTATGTCTTTTGGGGTTCACTAAAGTAGATGTGTTTTGATCTATTATTATCATGAAATATGTACTTTTGACATAAAAGTATCATGTGACATGTTATAAAATAGGAATATCTTCAAAACTGTTTTTATTCTAATGTGAAATATTATCCATATACAGTCGAGACTGTCATATGCGACTTTCCAAGGGATCTTCAGAAAAAGGTCACATATGACAGGGAGTCTCTAAATACAGTCTCAAAGAAAATTAAATTTAAATACCATCTATCTGTCTATATACCATTGTGACTTAACATACATAACTGTGTGAAGGAATAATATCTAACCAATTGCAAAAAAACATGGGTATTCGTAATTTTTTTTATGTAAATAAAATAAGAATCCATGTAAAACAAATATATATTAGCATGTATATCACATAAAATTTAATTTTATTTTTTGTATTAAGATTTAAATTGAATCTTTATGGTATAAATTAACTGGAATTTGATGCATTCAAATCCATACTTGTAAAAGTTAAACATATCCATATCCAAATCTTTTTCTGGTTTGGTTTCAATATTTTTTCCGTATTAATTATGCAGCCATATCAAGGTAAATTAAAACAAGAGGGCCATGATGGCCCTGGGGTCGCTCACCTGAACATAGGCCCACAGGGCCGGGCAAGTTTAAACGAAAGGGCTTTTATTTGAACAAACTTGGAAGACACCCATTAGAAGATATTTCATGATGTTAAGTTTTTACTATACACAAATAATGAATAAAATGACTTCCCCCCCCCCTCCCCCTGGCATGGCCAACTTTTAACCAAGGGCTTTTATTTGAACAAAACTTGGTAGACACCCATTAGAACATGTTTCATGCTAAATATCTTAGCTCTAGCTCTTTGGGTTCTTTAAAAGAAGATTTTAAAGTATTTAATTACTATATGCAATAAAGGGAAAATCAATGACCCCCTAGGGCGGGGCCAATTTTGACCCAAGGGCTTTTATTTGAACAAACTTGGTAAACATCCATTAGAACATGTTTTCATGCTAAATATCTTAGCTCTAGCTCTTTGGGTTCTTTAATATGAGATTTTTAACTTTTTACTCTATGCATATAGGGAAAATCAATGACCCCTGGGACGGGGGCCAATTTTGACCCCAGGGCTTTTTATTTGAACAAATTTGGTAGACACCCATTAGAACATGTTTCATGCTAAATATCTTAGCTCTAGCTCCTTTGGGTTCTTTAAAAGAATTTTTTTTAAGTTTTTACTATATGCATATAGGGAAAATCAATGACCCCCTGGTGCGGGGCCAATTTTGACCCCAGGGCTTTTTATTTGAACAATCTTGGTAGACACTGATAAAGAAGATGTTTCATGCTTAATATCTTAGCTCTAGCTCTTTGGGTTCTTTAAGAGAAGATTTTTTTAAAGTTTTTACTATATGCATATAGGCAATATCAATAACCCCTTGGGGCTGGGCCAATTTTGACCCCAGGGCTTTTATTTGAAACAAACTTGGTAGACATCCATTAGAACATGTTTAACGCCAAATATCTAAGCTCTAGCTCTTTTTGTTTTTTAGAAGAAGATTTTTTAAAGTTTTTACTATATATGCATATAGGGAAAATCAATGACCCCCTGTGGCGGGGCAATTTTGACCCCAGGGCTTTTATTTGAACAATCTTGGTAGACACTAATTAGAAGATGTTTCATGCTTAATATCTAAACTCTAGCTCTTTGGGTTCTTTAATAGAAGATTTTTTTAAGTTTTTACTATATGCATATAGGGAAAATCAATGACCCCATGGGGCGGGGCCAATTTTGACCCCAGGGCTTTTATTTGAACAAACTTGGTAGACATCCATTAGAACATGTTTCATGCCAAATATCTAAGCTCTAGCTCTTTGGGTTTTTTAGAAGAAGATTTTTTTAAGTTTTTACTATATGCATATAAGGAAAATCAATGACCCCCTGGGGCGGGGCCAATTTTGACCCCAGGGCTTTTATTTGAACAATCTTGGTAGACACTTATTAGAAGATGTTTCATGCTTAATATCTTAGGTCTAGCTCTTTGGGTTCTTTAAAAGAAGAAGTTTTTAAGTTTTTACTATATGCATATAGGGAAAATCAATGACCCCCTGGGGCGGGGCCAATTTTGACCCCAGGGCTTTTATTTGAACAAACTTGGTAGACATCCATTAGAACATGTTTCATGCCAAATATCTAAGCTCTAGCTCTTTGGGTTTTTTAGAAGAAGATTTTTTAAAGTTTTTACTATATGCATATAGGGAAAATCAATGACCCCCTGGGGCGGGGCCAATTTTGACCCCAGGGCTTTTATTTGAACAATCTTGGTAGACACTCACTAGAAGATGTTTCATGTTTCTAATGAACCTTCATATTTAACAAATATCTAATGCTCAACAAGATTTGAATTCTGTATAACATGAGTTTGAAACTTCTTATATCTACGATAAAATTATATTACAATTTAGTTCAAACAAACATTTTGTAAGTTACTTTACATCAAAAGATTTGTTCAGTACTTCATTTTCTATAAATTCTTAAGGTCCGAAAAATGTATTTAATAGAGAAATATAAATACCTGAAGTTCTACCAACAGAATGTAATGATGAAGTTGAACTACTACGGGAGGTCAGGGAAGGGTCTTCATCACTTTCGCTATAGTCAGGATCTGTTAAACATAGAACACCCAATGTTAAATAACCTTCGTTTTATCCCAGTATTGAAAATACAGTACGCTGTATGGTTTGTCTAGGCAATGTCAGTAGTTACTATACATGTTACATCAGTCAGATACATGTGTAAAATGTATAATTTAGTCTTCGAGGCAGACACCATGCCTCCAGAAAGCTGTATTAGTCTCGCAGTAGAAATATGGTGATAAATACTGCAAAATCAGTTATTAATTGCCTGTAACATGTAAATTAATTCTTGAACTGAGAATATTTTACTTTTCCTAAAATCTAAGTGAATGTACATTTTTCTCAAGATTGATTTTCTTGAAATATTTTGGCTGATCTGGAGACATGCAACTTTAAAAGAGGGAGACATTTATTTGGGGTTAGAGTTTGAGAATATGTATAATGTATACATGTACTTTAAATAATTTCAATTCAATCAAATGTTCAAATTAAATGGAAATGAGGAAACAATATACATTTGTTGTTATTTAACATTTATGTAAAACAGGTCTAAGCAATCAACACATGTAAATTACTCTGTAAGTAAATAGGAAAACAGTTAATTAAATAACAATTAAACTCCTTATAATTTTCCTTTACAATTTTTAAGTAGGCTATTATGTCAGTCCAAAAGGAAAGAAAATTGTACATTTCAGAACATACTTCACAATTATGAAACTAAATAACAATGTACAATAAAACAACAGGTATGAATCATTTATATGTGGTACATTATCATTCATGTGAAAACTTCATTTTTACATTGTATTATGGTAAGTGTAGGAAATCAGGTGATAAAACAGACCACAGACACTGCTGTTGCTTGCAGCTTTATATGAACCGTGTCATGACAAAACTAACGTTATGCGTTTGTGACCAGCATGGATCCGCCCAGTCTGATCAGGATCCATGCTGTTCATTTACAAACCCTATAAAAAAAGTAGAGAAACTGATAGCAAACAGCATGGATCCTGATCAGACTGTGCGGATGCGCAGGCTGGTCTGGATCCATGCTGGTCGCAAACCCATTATGTTGGTTTTGTCATGGCGCGGCTCATATTTTGTTAGACTTGCCCGGTATAACTGGAACTGTCCATTGTTGTATTAAAAGGATTTCAGTATAATAATGTCAAATTTAGCAGACAAAGGTACAAGAGTATGGTTAGACAACAAGCCACATGATGACTGGTTCAGCTCTATACTGGGGGTTTAAGCTTTTTTAATGAATGCTGTAATATTTTATACCTTGTACCAACCTATGAAATACAGGCTTTTATCAATGAGACTTGAATTAAAAGGCATGATAAAAGAAGAAATAAGTTGGTCATCAAAAAATATGGAAAATATAATGTTTTCATGAGAATATCTCTATAATTTACAAGTCTTTTAGACGAATATTTTAAGATATGATCCATATCCACTCAATATAAACATATTATATAATCTTCCAGAAAAAAAACAACAACTAAACATTATTCTGTAACAAGTATCTAACCTGGATGGTTTTTATCAATTTTTCCAGTCTCTGGCTTCTTGAACTTCTCTGAGAATGTAATAGCTGCTAAACCCATTTTGTTCATCCATCTGTAGATATACAATATAAATATTTAAAACACACCCATAAGTTTTCTGGTAAATAGATGTCATTTTCAACTGAAGAAATATAAATATCTGGCACCATTTTCAAGATTCCACATCTTGTATTGATAATGTTGTGATGTCACAAATGTGTATTGACGTTATATATAAATGCCTATTTTTCAAGCATTATATTGCTAAAATGTATATAACAAGAGGGCAATGATGGCCCTGAAATCACTCACCTGTATATAGGTCCTTGGGGCGGGGCTAATTTTAACCCTGGGGCTTTTTATAACCAACTTGGTAGACACCCATTAGAAGATTTTTCATGATAAATATCTAAGCTCTAGCTCTTTGGGGTTTTTAAAAGAAAGCTTTTTAAGTTTTTAGTATAGACATATATGGAAAATCAGACCCCGGAGCGGGGCCAATTTAACCCTGGGGCTTTTATTTGAACAAATTTGGTCGACACTCACTAGAAGATGTTTCATGTTTAATATCTTAGCTCTAATTCTTTGGGTTTTTTAAAAGAAGATTTTTTAAGTTTTTACTATATACATATAAGGAAAATCAATGACCCCCAGGGTGGGGCTAATTTGGACCCAAGGGCTTTTATTTGAACAAACTTGATAGACACTCACTAGAAGATGTTTCATGCCAAATATTTAAGCTCTAGCTCTTTCAGTTTTTTAAAAGAAGATTTTTTAAGGTTTTACTAGATACATATAAGGAAAATCAATGACCCCCCAGGGGGCTAATTTTGACCCCCGGGCATTAATTGAACAAACTTGGTAGACACTCATCAGACAATGTTTCATGCCAAACATTTAAGCTCTAGCTCCAGCTCTTTCGGTTTTTTAAAAAAAGATTTTTTAAGTTTTTACTATATACATATAAGGAAAAGCAATGTCCCCCCTGGGGCGGGGCCAATTTTGACCCCAGGGCTTTTTTTTTTAACAAACTTGATAGACACTCACTAGAAGATATTTCATGCCAAATATCTTAGCTCTACCTCTATGGCTTTTTTAAGGAAGATATTTTAAGTTTTTTCTTTAGGTTGCCATGGCAACCAGAGTTCTGCATGGAATTAAATTCTTTGAACACTTTTCAAAGGTGACCACCAAAGGACCATTCTTGTGGAGTTTGGAAGAAATTGGCTTAGTGGTTTATGAGGAGATGTCGTTTAAAGTAAAAGTTTACAGATGACGGACGGACAACGGATGAAAAGTGATCACAAAAGCTCACCATGTCACTTTGTGACAGGTGAGCTAAAAAAAGGTGCAATTTAAAAAAAAACACATAAAAACTGAGGAAAATTGTCACTTACTTGCTCATATCTTCTTGTCTTTCTGAGGCAAAGTAAAAACAGGTTCCTGAATTATGTATTTTAAAAGCCCTGAAAATAAGAAATGAAAACAACTTTTAAAGTAACTAATAACTTATATATTGGTTATGAAAACAAGCTGGATATTAAAATAGGAAATTTATGCAAATTTGTAATCTAAGACTTCCTGAGCTAACCATTATATACACATATTATGTAATTTATACTTTAATATGAAAATTGTCCATTTTCCATTATTTAAAAGGTCACTGCTCTGTTGAACCTTTCTCCTCTATGCTTCTGTTTTTTACATATATCTCAAAATGAAACAAATGAACAAGAATTAAACCTTGCATCTTTAATTGTAAATTCTTTATACTGTAACATGGACCATCTAATGAAAAAATCTGAAAATCTTTTATATCTACTAAAATAACTTTAACTTAAGAAAAGTTTATTATTTTCACATAGTACCTTAGTCGTGAATAAACACAACTATAACTAGAAATGTGTCCATAGGACACGGATGCCCCCACACGTCACTGTTCTGTCAATCTTATGACTCTAGGTCAAATATTTTTTGGACTACATGTGCCACAAGTTGAAAACTAAAAATTAACAAAGGGCCATAATTCTGTTAAATTTGGTTGCAGCAAAAATTCTTGCCTTTACTACCATCTACACATCCCTGGAAGTTTAAGCAAAATCTGCCATCCGGTTTAAGAGGAGTTGCGTTCACAAAATTTCTACATAGTATATAGTGAAAAAATCAACAAAGGGCCATAATTCTGTTAAATTTGGTTGCAGCAAAAATTCCTTCCTTTACTACTATCTACACATTAAGGTTGTTCATCCCTGGAAGTTTAAGCAAAATCTGCCATCCGGTTTAAGAGGAGTTGCGTTCACAAAATTTCTACAAAGTATATAGTGAAAAAATCAACAAAGGGCCATAATTCTGTTAAATTTGGTCGCAGCAAAAATTCCTTCCTTTAATAGCATCTACACATTAAGGTTGTTCATCCCTGGAAGTTTAAGCAAAATCTGCCATCCGGTTTAAGAGGAGTTGCATTCACAAAAATTTCTACATAGTATATAGTGAAAAAAGCAACAAAAGGCCATAATTCTGTTAAATTTGGTTGCAGCGAAAATCCCTTCATTACTACCATCTACACATTAAGGTTGTTCATCCCTGGAAGTTTTAGCAAAATCTGCCATCCAGTTTAAGAGGGGTTGCGTTCACAAGATTTCTGGACATACAGACGGACGGACAAGTGCAACGCTATATGCTCCCACTTTGTGGGGGCATAAAAATTATAACTCTAAATCATTTCAGAGTGATGTGGCTTTTACAGTCCCAAACTTTGGATACAATATTTATGGCAAACTAACATCCTTACACCATATGTGCAGTATCAATGCAGTTTCAAGTAACAAATTTCACAACAAAACTTACCTTACATGATCTTTCAATATTAGCAAGAAAAACACAACAACTTAACTAGAAAATTACTATCTATTCTAACAAATAGGGATAAAAAGAGTTTCCCTATTTATTAAACAAAGGTGAGCAATGAACAATGTTAGAACAACAGTGATCTTCTTACCAATCCTCCCTGGGTTAGCAATGAAATATACATGATAAATGTTCATATAAAATACAAACAATAATACTAGTTATACAATGAGATAGAAATATGTATCTTAAAATGAAAATATATATGGGAAAAACTACATGACCACACTAAACAGAACAGATGGAACATAAATTCAGCAAAGTTCAATCATGTGAAGACACATAGTTTATAACCTTTGACCTCAATGACTGACCTTGCCATTTATGTCATGACCTTGACACTGCAGTTACTGACATCTTGCTCTTTAATTATGGCCTAACCTAATTACAAGAAATTCTACAAGTGACTTCAAGACGAAGTGGTTAAGTTTGCCAACATTCCATCACTTGCTCCTCACCTCTAAACCATGTTGTTGAACATTTAGATCAATGGTGCTTTCCAAAACAAGAGCGATCAGTGATCACACATGTGTTGCCTGATGATAGCCAATTGCATATTGCAGCTACAGTGTAGCAGGAGACACAAAAATCATTAACAGGCCAAACGCTTTTTTCCTTCAAGGTAACTCAGCTAATCATTTAACCGAAAAACTTGTTTAATATGCTCAAGAAACAGGAAGTTTTGTGATGGGCGGATTGGTGGACAGACAACAGAGAAGTGATCCCTATATGTTTTAGCTAGTCTGTAGCAGTTGACATAAAAACCTAATAAGCTTGTAATTATGTACAATGTAGCAATTTGGGTCAACCTCTACAATTAAGATTGAATCTTTGTCAGTGTGACTCAAAACTGAACAAAACATAATAAAAACATCTGTACATCAGTTATCTGTAGATATAACTGCCCTAGATTAGAAATGAAACAAGGAAGTATGATAGCACTTGAAAAAAACAAAACAACAATGATACAACTAATGATAAACTTGTTTTCCCTAACCAATGATATAGAGATAAAATACATATGATAAACTGATAAACTCATGTAATACATTGTAGTTTGATGAAAATGTTATATAACATTGTCATATAAATACTGTTATATCTGTACAGTGCATACAGTATGTAATACAAGCTGATAACTGCCTTTATTTAAAGTGACATCATGCTCATTTTTTTCGTTGTCAAGTTGGGTTGAATTGGCTTTATTATAATATTATATATTGACTGATATAATGGTCATTGACCAATAATTGATAATGAAAAAACAGTTAGGATAAAATAAAACCACCTAAAATATAAAAAAAAACTGCCCCACTCTTTTTTATCATTTGAATATTAACAATATATTCCCGAGGATATTTATAGAGTTTTCTGTGAGTCACATGGGGTATTGATAATGCGCATGAACTAGACTATAAAATTAAATGCAGTTATGGCAAATCTTAAGTTATTTTGATTTTGACATGATTGTAGACCCACCATTTACACTTGGATGTTCATAATGTCACTTTAAGTATTTTCAATGAGTTTATACATATACATATATACATGATTTCATCATCTTTAAACTTTAATACTGAGATATGGACAATGGTCTTGCATGCAACAATTTGTCTCCAATCACTGAATACTATAGCCAAAATATAGGAAAAATCCTTTTATGCAAGACAAAGTTAAGGTCAGATAAGAAATGACACAAGCTAGACATAAACATAGACAAACACAAAAGAATAAACCTTTGCCTGTTGGCAGCTGCATTTTTTACATACATGTAATTATGCAACCAGTACAGACCAAGATCAGCCAGTACTTACATGCCATCTGATTGTCTGTACAGTTCACTATCCAGTCAGGACTTATTTTGAAATTTTCCCCAAAATGATGAATAGTCATATCCAGATTAAAATATTTAAGATTTACATATAAGATATTTAATGTGATAAAGGTTAAGGCTTTTAAAATAAGCTTCCATTTACTAGTCTCAATTCATTTAAATATAGTTCTCCACGGAAAGGAACTGTTAACCCCTTTTACAAAGGTAATCTTTCATAAAAGAGTTTGAATTCTCTGAAAGCAATTAGCTTTTATTAAATGACTTGTCTAGACCCAACAACACTCTTGTACTGCTGACTGCTTAATTTGTGAACTTTTTTTAACATGAAATCCCTCTGATAAACAAAAGACAGTTCCATATTCAAAGCCAGGGAAGTCCATTTCACAAACCAGGCAGGTTAAAGGACAAATAAACTAAATAAGCCAATATTTAATAAAACCATTACAATACAAAGATTGAGATTTTTTTCAATTGGGGGAGAGAATGACATTATAAACTAAATTCAAAGCATAAGGATATAAATATACTAAGAACTACTCACTGTTTCTTTGTTTTAAAATCTGTAGAATCAACAGGTGACACTTTAAATGCAGGAAGATGAATCACAACTTCTGCTTTCAACGACTGCAAATATATGTGACAATGATAAAATGAGTTGTTCGCTTACCAACTCTATTACAAGTAGAGAAACTGATAGCGAACAGCATGGATCCTGATCAGACTGCGCGGATGCTCAGGCTGGTCTGGATTCATGCTGGTCGCAAACGCACTATGTTGGTTTTATCGTGACGCAGCTCAAATGTTTATTAACATAAGGCTAACAGCCTAAGATCAACAAACAACATGTATACATATAAATACAATGACTGCAAATATATGATAATAATTAAGATTGCAGTTCTTTTTAACATATATTTTGATCAAAATTTACCACCATTGTCTTTCATAAAAAAAATAAATTGTAGGCTAACATCACTTGACAAAGACATTAACAATTAGATAGAATTTTCACAAAAATGTGTCAAGATTCTATAATGTTAGATCCAGAATAATATAAGTGAAAACCTTAAACGTTTAAACATATTTATTATTCAATTGCTAGAAACAATTTCTTTCAACTTATATTAATCACTTTCGAGTCCACTTCCTGGAACAAACCAGTACTGGTATCATATGAAGAAACATGGTTGTGACCCAAGTAGGGCTCGAACCCATGATCCCTGGGTTGAGAGGCAGACACCTTAACCATTAGGCCACCACTTCCCTTCATGTAGACTTGCTCGCCAATATCGTTCATTCCGGTGGCAAGGCTAAATAAACCAAACACACATATGCAGACTTTTAAGTTTGTTATTTTTTTTTTCGTCACATCGACACAGTTTAGGTCATATCGGGACATTCCAGCTTTACTGGTGGGGAAGACCTCAGGTGCCTCTCAGTGCATAATTTCAGGCACGAACAAGCACCTGATAAGAACCACCGACATTCTGTACGATAGCTTCCTCATATGAAAGAATCCAAAGTCGCTGTCGGGATTCAAACCCACAGCAGTGAGGGGCAAGTGGTTTGACCTTAACCATTCGGCCACGGACCCCCCGCAGACATTTCAGAGAGTTGGATGTAGAATGACTGTTATAATATGTTTTTCAATCTCAGATTTTGCTTTCACAGAAGCATATCTCAGTATAATCATAAATGTTAATCTCTGACTCGGACCATGAAGTAAATTAATGCTTTTCATATTCGAAATTTGAGCACAAATGGGCTCAATACATATTTTCACAATTTTTCAAAATGTGAAATATATAATGAACACAATCATACATTATGATTCATAAATCTGACTATTACAAAGAAATTTCATTTTATGTAACTATGTTACATTATTAAATAAGCTTGAAAACAATCATGACTTTAATTTCCTGTTTTAGCAAATTTATTATCTGATTTTTATCAATTTCCTCAATTCACTTTTCTTTAAATCCAAATTGCTACTGGTGGGAGTATAGGAGTGTTTTCTTTCACATTTTGTGTTTGGTGTATTTTCAGCTATATATTTTTTTTGGGGGGGGGGGGGGGGGGTTTACGTCACATCGACACAGTATAGGTGATATGGCGACTTTCCAGCTATACTGGTGGAGGAAGAACTTGGGTGCCCTTCCCTCCATTATTTCAGGCACAAAGGGGCACCTGAGTAGAACCATCAACATTCCTTAAGCTAGCTGGAAAGCTTTCCAACATGAAAGAATCCAAAGTCCCTTGCAGGATTAGAACCCACAGCGGTGAGGGGCAAGTGGTTTGAAGTCAACGACCATTTTCAGCTATATACATTTAACTAACCAGTGGTGTAATATACAAACAGGAGGACCTGTTTACAGAATGATAATTACCAATAAACGTTTGAGACAAAACTTAATAATATTATCTACATAAAACCAATCTGACCTATCACACTTCATTCTTGAAACACAAATTTCATTGAAATATATACATATGACAATTTTAAATTATAAATTCATTGACAATTTCTATTTTTTTTCAAATTCGTTCCCTTCAGCTACTTCACATGTGTGTTTTATTATGAAAATATTCTTTTATCTTTTCATACAAAATGGTTTGCTAGGTTCTTAAATGATAGGTGATTAAGGAGTTATTATTTGTCAGAAAGAAATGCTTTGCTTTTACTATTACATAAGAATTACAAATACACCTATGTTATAAGCTTGTCATTTGTAAGCAGAACCCCTCTATTCTAGAAGAAGAGAGTGGACTTCGATTTTTCAAACCCCTTGAAAAGGCCCTGCCCTCCGAGAATGTCCTGGGCATATCCTCGCTAAAAGCCTAGCACTGCCATTTGGACATATCCCTGGCTATTTTGGCACCAAAACAAAACCATCACATTAACACAGCAGTAGGGGTCAGACAAATGATAAAAACTAAAAACGCATTTCCGTCTCCCTTCCCCGTGAGAGGGTTGTTCATATTAACAACTGACTGGTGTTTTACCGGACATAGCATGGTATATCATTCTCATTCACATTTATACATACCTCTTTGTCATGGTAACAGAACATGTTGTAATCCTTGATCACACACCATCGTTTCTGCCAGTGACTGAACAAACCTCCGCCACCCTTCGCCTTTCTCTTATGTAACCATCCTTCACAATCTCCCTTCCCTAGGTCCTTACAGGACACCCTCCGATCTGAAACAATAAATTACAAAACTTACATTTATTTATGTAGAAGCAACACCCTAACAATACACTCTTCTGATCTTCTTTTTTTTTTTAAATACCCGGTACCAGCTATGCCAAACACACTCGCGCTGGGTAATGGTTTAACAATTTTATATTTATAAACAGTAACAAGTATTTCGTTTTTCTCTAAAAAAACACCAAAAAACTAAATATAAATAATAAAGTTATGCAAAATCATTATCAGACAATTGTACATTATCAAAAAAAATTGATAAACATACCAATCTTTTTCCGCCCCGTTTTTGGTCTTCTTTTCACAGCTGGTGACTGAAATACAAAAATCATTACAGATAAAACAAAATAAACATACCAGCAAAGTCACACACATACACAAATATTAGTTATCGCTTACAGATGCTACCCACTGCTGCAATAAGACTAAAGTTCAGATTTTCTTATGTTTACATGTATGGTACCTTTAACTTAGAAGCTGATTGTTAATCAGATTGCCCACTGCTGCCATTACAAAAACTTAAAATATGGCCTATGAGAAAAAGCTGAAATCTTCAGCAGCAAATTAGCTTAAGGGACCATGACCAAAAAGACTTGAAACAGCAACCAAAAGTCAAACTCGTCAAACCAAAATTTTCTTTAATTTAGGGGGATTTCTTTTTGGCTATACATATAACATCAAATATAAATGAAAGTATTTTTCAGAATAAATCTTAACTGAGAAAACTGTAAATTGCCAAGTATCACAGTATGTTCACTAGTGGGTGAAGAAAAAGTGTCAGTGGTGTGGTAGGGTGTCACAGTATGTTCACTAGTGGGGGAAGAAAATGTGTCAGTGACGTGGTAGATCATCACAGTATGTTTGGTGAAGAAAATGTGTCAGTGACGTGGTAGATCTTCACAGTATGTTCACTAGTGGGGGAAGAAAATGTGTCGGTGACGTGGTAAATCTTCACAGTATGTTCACTAGTGGGTGAAGTTAGATAAATTTTTCTACCCTGTGACATTCAGCACAAAAAAGGGTACTATAGTGTTATAAAGCTAATTAAGAGTCAACTGGCATTGTTCTCATTATCCATTGAAAATTCAGAGAACTGTTCACTAGTAGTTGAAAAAAATGTGTCAGTGGCCTGTTAGCTCTGTTGGTACAGTTGTGAGAAAGTATTTAGATGGTTCTACCTTCTTTATCTGGTCAAGCTACATTATGAACTTACCCACCAAGTGTAACATTGAGCACCAAATAGGGTACTAAGATGATATATAACTAACAGTCAATGCCCATTGTTCTCTGTGTATCCATTTGAAATTCAAGGACAAATTTCATTATAGCCAATAAGTACAGCTATGAATAGACCTATTAATTTTGCAGTAAATGTGTTATGTAGCCAGTGGCTTAGACGGTTGAACTACTAAACAGTTTAATGTTAGGGTTTCCAAGTTTCACTCCAAATCATACTGCCGATTTTCCTCACACTGTGACATATGAATCAAATAAACACCTGCTGTTGTTTAATTCTGAGAATGATTTTTTTCCTACCAGCATGTTCCTAAATATATCCGAGACTTTATATTTTCCTCTTTATATTTTCCTCAATGTTATTCAATACAACCTTTAAATGGTATTAACGTCAATACATTCTACTCTATAGCCAAAAAAACAACCACTTCTATAAAAGGATGACCTTCAATTATTATCACTATGTAACACAATGTAATACTGTATTAAACTCACTTGAATTTTGCAGAAAAATAGAACACAGTACAGATAAAATGTACAGAAAAGTACACAGAAAGGCACATGAAAGAAAAATATCTTGGGGGTACTTACATTGGTTGGGGATCCTTTGGAATCCACTGGTATTTTTTGTACAACTCCACCCACAACCTTACATATATAACTGAAACATGAACAATCCAAAATTGAGTCTATATTATATATACATGTAGGTCACCTTGTAACTCCAATTAAATTTCTTCTGAATGTATATACAGTTATTGAACATAATTAATACAGTAATTCAACACCACTTTGACACACAAAACTTGTGATAATTATCGGTAAAATAGACAAGTCTCCTTGAAATAACTTTTACAATATATATTCATAATTCAGTGCTAAATCATCACAAAAAATATCAGAAAAATGCACGTGATTTTTGACACAAGCTTGATCAAACAGATACTGATGTTAATATACAGTTTTCCGTCTAGTTCCCATGAAAACCGTTACTGGATGTGCATGTCCAGTTCGATGAAACAACAGTCAATTAAGGAAGATATAAAACTTCCCTTTATGCTTGACGTCAACAGGTCAACTTCTCACAGTTTAAGCACTTAACATCTAGTCAATGAACCACAAACACAATAACAACCAATGTATGTATTTATCTTTTATACTTGTATTAGATTTATATAATCTTTTAAACAAACTCTTGAAGTTTTTTATCTCCCCATTCTTTCTGTACTAACTGTATTCACTAAAATTCTTGGTGAAAATTGTACACAACATCAGCTATATTATATAAAAAGGTTAGTAAAATAGAAATCTGCAGTACATCAAATTCTTTTATACTCCTATTAGATTTATATAATCTTTTAAACAAACACTTAAGGTTCTTTATCTTCCCATTCTTTCTGTACTAACCGTATTCCCTAAAAATCTTGGTGAAATTTGTATACATACAAATACAGTGTTTAGAAAAGAAATGTGCAGTACATCAAATACCTCTACATAAATCCGAATTTATTATTAAGTATCAAGTCATACGAAATGTTAACACACACAGTCTTGATGGTATGATATATAATGTCAGCAGAAAAAAGCTCTCACAGATATCCTTGCCAAACTATTTTACTACAAACGATGCATAGTTATAGTGTGAAGTCATTCAGAGCTATCACAATAAAACATTTGTCTAATTGAGCATAACAATAAGCTTTTAATATAGTCACCTTAATACCTATAAATGTCCCTTAGGGCACATGCTGCCCGAAATATCAACTTTGCTTGTGATTGATTTTTACATTAAACACTTTATTTATAATTAAGTTGCACTTTACAGTTTCATTATACAGACAAGAAGAACAAGTGATATGGTCACTTAATCGTTTATAAATGGAAGTGAAAAATTTAATTTGTCTAGCCAATCAGGCACTATTTCAGACAATCAGGCACTATTGATAGATCCATACTCTGACCTTTAATTTGAATAACAATAGATTTAACCACAAACATGGACATGTGCTCTTTTGCTAACAAATATGTTGTGATCTGATAATTAGAATAAGACAAGTCAAGGATCTGTGCATTTGAGACATCTTGGTTTATATCTGAAACAAATTAAAAATTCACCCCAAATTTTCTTGATTTCTTTTTTGCACAAAAAACAACAAAACAAATATGAAACAAATATTTCAAAAACTATACCTCTGGTTCTCTTCTGTTTCCTTGTCGGAATCTATACCAGTAAACCCTACATGTCTTTCTTTCTTTACTGGTTCCTGGTCCTGTAATGATTCATTAGGCTCGGCCGTCATTTTAAATCTTCACGAAACAATATTCAACAAAAAGTAGAGCAAAGATAGACAACCTAACACTGCTTATTACAGTGACATACTTCCTTTAAAAAAAATAATATCCAATAAAATCATAAATCCCGGCAGATTCAGAAGCACTTGGTATCTGGAGTGTTTCATAACACAGATTATTTCAACTCACATATTTTAATAAAGTAAACTTTATTATTAAACTGTATTTGATTCTTTTATTAGAATTGTGAAAAGATAAAATCAAGCAAATTCCCTGTAAATTCTTTTATTACAAACTATTTCTGTCTGTCTTACTTAACACTTTCACATAAATTGTCTGCTTATTAAACTTTTTTCCATTACTTTATGTATAAGTAGTTTTGTTACATCTTTTTTTAATTGCTTTTGGTTAATTTCATATTTTTAGGTTAATTTAATAGCTTTCAGACATTTAAGATGCAAAGCAATATATAACTCCTCTTTTAACATATAACTTATCTCCAGAAAAGAATATTTATTTTTCCAGGAATAAATTACACAGAGTGGTAGCACATCAATATACACAGACTAAATTATAAACAGAATGTTTTTTTTCCGGCACATACACGTTTGTACCTTGACTTTAGTCTGGAGTAAATTCCAGCTAGCACTTTCTGGTTTTTTATGTTCTAACTGATGTATGTTTTCACTGATTATAAAGCACTCCCATTGCTGTTTACATCATGCAATTAATAACACATACCAAAAACCCGTCAGTTTTTAGTAGATCATATGTTAAATATAATTTTACAACGCTTTTATTTTTGTAGCGTATATTATGAAAACTTGCAAAACCAAAAATGTTTTTTTCATCAAGTTATTTTTTCATATTCAATATATCATATCATAGTAAAGTGACAATTAACATTTGATTAATATTTCTCCATTCATTATGCAAACACACAAAAATGCATGTCATCCAAAGTACAATATCTTCTCTATATGAAATACTATATAGTGGAGAAAAAAAATCAGAAAAAACCACCAGTCATATCAAATGTGAGTTAGAGATAAAGGACTACTTGATTACCATGTAAACTAGGAAGCTGACTAAGTAGTTAGTTAATTATCTTCATTTACATCATATATATATATATATGACATATTACAGTATAACAATAACACACATTATTTACCAATTATTATCTCAGTGGTATTTACATGTATTTTTGAAAAAAAACTTGCCCAAGTTGAAGTTGCGAACTTTTCTATTATTTTATCAATGCAGAGCTAGGCTGTGTTAGTTTCTTATTTCTATCACTATTCTATTCTATCCTTATGGTTTTTAACTATTACGTAGTATTTCATCACAAATTAAATAGTTTTACAAAAAGTTCTCCCCTACTAAGCAAAGTTGTTTTATTTTGTATATAAAAATTTATGATTCAAATGTTAAAATATTTTCACAACATTAATCAGTTGTCACTTTCATTGATAACGTTAGTGTTAGTTATGTTAACAGGCTGTCAGATGCAGACACCAAACAAATATGTGTACCGCAGAAATTTGAAATTATAAGTAAGAAAACTGTGTTTCTAAGACAACAGATAATTACAATATGTAAATATTTATAAATCACTTCACATTAAATGTACAATAGCCAACAAAAAGCTATGAAAAATTTGTTCTTCTCTTAATATATTTTACTTTATCAGAACAGTTTCTGACTGAAAAACTTGTTTTAGTAAATAATTTTAGTTACATTTGTTAGAATAACATTAAACCTACGCCTATTAGTGGCAACAGATTTTTACCCATGCAACCAATGCAGATAGGAAGCTGCATCACCATGGTCTGAACCGTTTGCTATTCAGTCAATACACAAAAATTACATATTCTGAAATTTCCCCCTAAACAAGAGGGCCATGATGGCCCTGGATCACTCACCTGACACAACCGCATCCAAGCAATGTCTTAGACGAGCATCATGGCCAAGTTTGATGACAACTGAGTCAAACATGTGACCTCTAGTGTGTTAAAAAGGTTTTACCATATTTGGGCAATGTGACCTAATTTTTGACCAGACACAACGCATATTCAACCTTGACCTAGAAATCATCAAAACAACCTTCCTGACCAATTTCCAGGAAATTTGGATCAAAATTGCAGCCACTAGAGTGTTAAAAAGATTTTTCTATTTTTAGCTCCTGTGACCTAGTTTTTGACCGGAGATGACCCATCTTTAAACTTGACCTAAAAATCATCAAAACAACCTTCCTGACAAATTTCCAGAATATTTTAATCAAAACAGCAGCCACTAGAGTGTTAACAAGCTTTTTCTATTTTTAGCTCCTGTGACCTAGTTTTTGACCTGAGATGACCCATTTTCGCACTTGACCTAGATATCATCAAAACAACCTTCCTGACAAATTTCCAGAATATTTGGATGAAAACTGCAGCCCCTAGAGTGTAAACAAGCTTTTTCTATTTTTAGCTCCTGTGACCTAGTTTGACCGGATATGACCCATCTTCGAACTTGACCTAGAAATCATCAAAACAACCTTCCTGACAAATTTCCAGAATATTTAGATGAAAACTGCAGCCACTAGAATGTTAACAAGCCTTTTCTATTTTATGCTCCTGTGACCTAGGTTTTTGACAGGAGATGACCCATCTTCGAACTTGACCTAGATATCATCAAAGCAACCTTCCTGACAAATTTCCAGAATATTTGGATGGAAACTGCAGCCCTAGAGTGTTAACAAGCTTTTTTCTATTTTAGCTCTGTGACCTAGTTTTTTGACGGAGATGACCCATCTTCGAACTTGACCTAGAAATCATCAAAACAACCTTCCTGACAAATTTCCAGAAATATTTGGATGAAAACTGCAGCCACTAAAGTTGTTAACAACTTTTTCTATTTTTAGCTCCTGTGACCTAGTTTTTTGACCTGAGATGACCCATCTTCGAACTTGACCTAGAAATCATCAAAAAAACCTTCCTGACAATTTCCAGAATATTTGGATGAAAAACTGCAGCCACTAGAGTGTTAACAAGCTTTTTCTATATTTATGCTCCTGTGACCCTAGGTTTTTTGACGGAGATGACCCATCTTTGAACTTGACCTAGAAATCATCAAAAAAACCTTTTCTGACAAATTTCCAGAATATTTGGATAAAAACTGCAGCCACTAGAGTGTTAACAAGCTTTTCTATTTTTAGCTCCTGTGACCTAGTTTTTTGACCGGGGATGACCCAATCTTCGAACTTGACCCTAGAAATCATCAAACAACCTTCTGACAAATTTCCAGAATATTTGGATAAAAACTGCAGCCACTAGAGTGTTAACAAGCTTTTTCTATTTTTAGCTCCTGTGACCTAGTTTTTGACCGGGACATGACCCATCTTCGAACTTGACCTAGAAATCATCAAAACAACCTTCCTGACAAATTTCAGAATATTTGGATTAAAAACTAGCAGCCACTAGAGTGTTAACAAAGCTTTTTCTATTTTTTAGCTCCTTTGACCTAGTTTTTGACCGGAGATGACCCCATCTTCGAACTTGACCTAGAAATCATCAAAACAACCTTCCTGACAAATTTTCCAGAATATTTGGATGAAAACTGCAGCCACTAGAGTGTTAACAAGCTTTTTCTATTTTTTAGCTCCTGTGACCTAGTTTTTGACCAGAGATGACCCATCTTCGAACTTGACCTAAAATCATCCAAAACAACCTTCCTGACAAATTTCCAGAATATTTGGATCAAAACTGCAGCAACTAGAGTGTTAACAAGCTTTTTCTATTTTTAGCTCCTGTGACCTAGTTTTTGACCCGAGATAACCCATCTTCGAATTCGATCTGTATATCATTGAGACAAACATTCTGACAAAGATTGATGATGATCCAATCAAAACTGTGACTGCTAGACTGTTAACAATCCAATTGTTGACGACGCACAACGCCGGACATAGCCCCATCACTATACCTCACCTTGACCACTTCGTGGTCAGGTGAGCTAAAAAGATGAATAGATTTGTCCAGACTGAGTGATGGTTAAAGCCAATTTAAGATTTTCAGAGGGGTTAGGGTTATTTTTTTTAACTACCACATCCCATCATTTGTTATATTAATGTTATTATATAAAATATACTTCATGTTAGTGTCAATTAATTCCAAATAAAGCTCAGGTTATTTTCAACATCGTTAATCAAAGACAATAAGCATGTCTGTGTTATAGCTGCAATAGAAATGCTACAAAAAACTTAGCAGACTGGTATTAAGCATATTAAGCTCTTAATAAATTTAATCTATTAAGAATTTAAAGCATTGTAATTGTTCCATTCTAAATGTGAAATTTTTGAAACTAGGTATGCTTACATTCTAAAGAATGACACAAGCAAGTTAAAGATTTGAAATTAAGCAGCGAGGAAAATTTTAAGAAAATGAGAGCAGAGTTTGTTAAAGCAGAGTAAAGTACCAACATGCATAACAATATATAACAAAAATGGCCAGAATTTTAACTTGATCTCATATCTTGTCAAGAACCATTTTAGACTGTTTTGTGACTGAATTTCTCAGACAGAAATTTGTTCGGAATCAAAATAACCTATAAAAGTCTCTCCTTAAATTACATTATTTTTTTTAAATTAAATTAGGCACCATGAGGAAAAACAAGCTCATCAACTTTAAGATCAAAACATTCATAATTCAAGTTTCATCTCTGTTTTTTGTAATGAAATACATGTATGTTCTGGTTAAATAGATGTACATATAATAAGAATCTTACATA